TTTACCTAGCCACTCAAAATATATGCTAAAAGCATAGCCAAAAAAGCTACCCAACAGGATTTTTTACTACCTCAACTACATATAAAAAAAATAAAAACTAGACATTTACTTGATTAAAAATTAGCTTTACATGTATTTGTATAAGGTTGATTTTACGTTAAAACCGACACTTTGCATTTTAATCTAATATACCTATTGGGGTCAGTATTTATGGAACAATAAAAAACTTGGTAGTCGAAGAAGTATATATTCAGATATTTTTGGTAATATCAATCGCTTCGGAATGTGTTATGTAAATGTATTTGAAAGCAAATTTCTAGTAGTTCATTTCCATGAAGTCTTAACGGCAGTTTATGTCTATTGCAAAAAGGAGATAACAACTCGAAGGCGGTAATGGTTTACATTAAGTACAAGCAAACGATTGGAAAAAAGTAAAAATTAAGAAATGAAACCTGCGGATCACCCCATGTTAAAATTCTTGGAACTAATCTGAGCTCTTAACTGCAGTTAATCCTTTGGGGAAATAGGCTATAAGTCTCAGTCAAAGGTGAAAGTGGCTTGAAATTGTGGGAAGACGAAAGGCCAATTCAAAAAAAGGAAGAACGAAATTTTATCAGAAAGTGCCGCCCAATAATGGTTCGCTCGCTTTTGTTTTGGAATGCTCTTTGTTAAAGATGCAGTTAGTAACGCCACAGAATGTAATGTTCGGTTGGGATCAGAAGGGCATTTTCTATGATAAAGTGCTACCGGTCATACGATTAATTCTAATATCTTCATCTGACACCTGCTCTTTCTTATTTGACAATCAAGCCGCTTATCGGTTTTGGCAGAGAGCAAAAAACTTCAATAAGTGCCTACCCGGCCCAAAGTAGCACCTATTGACTAGAGTTGTTCTTTGGTTGATATCTGGACTGACATTATTTTTGGTGTTTTTGATGGATCATATGTAGATGAAGTCTTTTCCTATTTAAAGGTACTGGCCCAATGCAGGCTTGCTTTGCTTGCGTCGCTCCGAGAAGTGTCAAAAATTATTTGGAATATACTAAAATGTATAAAGGCTGGCCAAATGGCAGCTTTTCTTCACTTGCTTTAAGCGCCTCAAAGTTTTAAATAGACAAATGTTTTATTTGAAAGCGTTTTGTAGGCTTTTGACAAAGAGGCATGTTCCTGTTCAAAATACATAAATTCAAACAAAAATTTGCTTACTTAATTTAAAAAAAGCAGTTCGAAATCAAATTTAACATATCGTTATATTATAGTAAAAAATTGCAAAGCTCACTTTTACAAATTTTACATGAGAGGAAAAAACTTCTTATAGCTCTTTTCTTCAAGTAAATCGCTTTTTTAAGTTATAGTTTTTTTAGTAACTGTAGATATACATATGTATGTGTCATTACTACCAGTTCTTTTAAATACAAGCATTATTTCGCATTAATTTAAAAGTAAATCTGAAAATGTTTGATACATCTTCCAGAGTTTTCTAAAACAATAATTAATGTTAAGGGAACAGACATTGACTTTTCAACCAGACAGCTGGTTACTTTGACAGCGTTTCAAGCCGCCATTCGGCCAAACAAGTTTTCAAACTAAATCAAAGCAAACTAAAGCCAGCAAGGCACGCAAAGCAAGCCTGCATTGGGCCAGCGCCTTAAGAGTTATAACTGCTAACTTTGAGTAGGTTGTCAGTTTTTTTTTCATCGCTATAGCAACCTCATTCACTTCTTTTCCTGATCTGGTATTGAAACCGACGATATATGTAGATGCCATGTGCATGGGCCAGCAGCACCTTGCGTTTGCTCTATGTGCTGCAGCAAATCAAATTGGAAAGGTCCTTCCCAACTTGTACCCAACGTCTTGTTCTTTCAGGGACATGACGTCGTACAGGCTTCACCTCGTATTATTAAAAGCTGCAATAAAGTCGACAAAAAAAGATGAATTTCCTCGATTTTCTTATTTAAGGTCTTTCCTAGAATTGGAGATGTTAGGTCTCAAAACACGCTGTTAGATCCAATAAGTGGATATGACATGAAAGGCTCTAGTCTTTACACAGTATCGTCGATGGAAAGACCTTATGCGCAATATCAAGTAGACTTATCTCGAAGAAGATTCCAATCTTCGCCTAACTAACTTTTCGCCGCTGGCTTTGAGCAGCTCAGCCGGAGAATTGTAGGCTCCTTCTTCCTTCTAAGCCGCCTTAATGCTGCACCCATCTCGTCTAGGTCGAGTGGAGGATCGATTCTATGCATTGGTCTCAGTTCTTTTTCATAAAACCTACCAGAGGTGTCGCCATGTAAAAGCGTAGAGAAACGCTTCAAGTTCCTCGACGCTTCTCGACGTCAAACTTTAGTCGTCCTGCCTGGCACACATTCTTCGTTGTAGATAGGCGCATGTGAAACTTACCTGCAGCAAGAGACGCTCGAAGGGTAATTTCTGTATATGAAAAGGTAATTGCTTCTTTGAAGAGGGAACACCCAAATAACTTTGTGGATATTTCGATGTTACTGCCTAATACCATTAACTAACACGTTCCGTTCCGCGCCGAAGTAGATCAGACACTATCCATTGCCGGAGGTGGCTCGTTAAGGTTTGTTTGCGACAGTAAGACCAAGTAAGACGCTCTCTCTGCTCACCTGAACTTTAAAGACTAAGAACCAAATAGTCCCCGAAATTTCTTATAGAGTTGAAATATAAAATATTTATTTCTTTTAATCTTTTGCATTAAAAAAACCACCAGATTCCATACTTCTTCAGCGTAAAGCCTTGAAAAAATAAATGGAAAATTTGTAAAGTGCATTCGCCGAAGTGGCCATGATTCCGAAACAATACTAAATGGTGTATTATTAAAGCAATAGCAACTTCCGGTCTTAATATGTTAATTGTTTAATTGAAAGTAACTCTTACATATACTGTATGCATACATACATACATGTAAGTGCACTTACAACTTAGCATAGATGAAAATATACGCAATAAAGTAAGTATGTTTGATTGAATGCATAGGTTTAAATGATCAGCGTTTATATGATGAATTTTGTGAACAAAATTAATGGATAAGTTCGTGCAAACATACATACATATATATGTACATATGTATTTGTATACCGGTCATTCCAAATTAAACGTAACAAAAAGTGGTGATTTTCTGCGCCATGGCCTTCGATTGCGAATTGACTTACTTCATAGAAAATAAACTTTATAATTTTTATGCCCGCGAAAGTGCCCAAGGGTATTTTAACTATACCCGATTTACGTTTGTTTGTAACAGCTTAAAGGAATCGAGATAGTTATGGACATACAAATACGAAAATAGAATTAGATTAAGCCATGTCTGTGTGTCTGTCCTTCATAACGCTATCACAAATTTGATATGTAAGCAAGCACGCAATTGACCGCCTACAAGTCAGCCGTAACCACTTACAACTCTGAGCTCAGAGGGTCTTAGAGGACTACGTGGCGTGGGCACTTCGGGAGAATTTCTTCCCTACCAAAAGTACATCGTCTTCAGAAGGCTCTTAAACTGGGTAATCTGTTCGTCCTACGCACTGTGAAATGAGCATATTGTATCTGCACTGGCTCTGCTGAAGAAGCTAGCAAGCTTCTAAACCACAATAATACCAAAATGGACGAGGTTCACACGTCATGTGTTTGATTTTTTTCAAATTTTTAGGGTTGATGGATAAACATAAATAATAAATGAATATGAAATTAGAGCTTGATTTTTTTAAAACTTTACAGCACAAAAATAAATCAAATCGATTGAATAGTTTTTCAAATATCTCGATAACGTGGCGAGAAAATTTGAGACAAATCACACATACACACATCAAAATTCTCTATGAAAATAAATATTAAAAAAAAAATATTTTTTCTTGAAAACTTATTCACATAAAAGTTTTTTGATAAAAAAAATATTTCATCTCAAAAAAAAATTTAAAAAAAATCACAATGGTAGCTCTGAGTATTGCGCAATATTTAAGTATAGTATTACGGGGTGCACTCTACGATAATTTGAATTTTTTTTTACACCGAAGTTGAGTAAAATGAGTACATTACAAATTTACAAATTTTTTTAATTTTTCAGAATGTTTGTAGCCCAATAAATTTTAGCATAATAAAGTGCAAGTTTTAAGCGATCGCAAAACTGGCGTTAATTTTTTTTTCTTTGGAAACGTTTTTGCGCATTTTCTTCCATAAGAAAAAAGTGCAAAAAGCCGTCAGAACAAAAAATATTACAAATCAACGCAATTTTGCAGTAGCTTACAGCTTGCAATTTATACTACAATTTAATGGGCTACAAAACTGAATACTCGAAAAAATTCTAAAAAAAATAAAAAAAATTTGTAAATTTGTAATGTACTCAACTTCGGTGTAAAATAAAATTCATATTTAACTCAAATTATTGTAGAATGCACCCCGTAATACTATACTTAAATATTGCGCAATACTCAGAACTACCATTGTGATTTTTTTCAATTTTTTTGAGATGGCATATTTTCAAAACCTAATTTTTTTATCGAAAAATTTGTGCGTGAAAAATTTTTCAAGAAAAAAAATTTTTTTAATATTTCTTTTCATAGAGAATTTTGATATGTGTATGTGTGAATTTTTTTTTCAAATTTTTTCCTCGCCCCGCTCTCGAGATATTTGGAAAACTATTAAATCGATTTATTTTTGTGCTGTAAAGTTTTTAAAAATGTATTAATCAAGCTCAAATTTCATATTTATATAATATTTATGTTTGTCCATCAACCATCAGTGAAACAAATCAAACACATGAAAGGGGTTCACATTTCATCCATTTTGGTATGGAACTTCCCATATATAATGGTTTAAAAGGATATTTTTTTAAGGAACCAGGTTCTACGGTTAAGCCAAAAGCACAGTTTATCTAGCCTGTGTATCTCAATATCGTTTTAACTTATCTTACTTACTTATCTGCATTAATTATAAATATTTTCCAGTTGTCTTTAATATTCAAAACAAATTTTCTTTCTTTCCAGGAACTAGACGTTTTGACGCTTGGTGCCAAAGGTCAGGAACAAATAATCGCCGATCGAAATAAACGAACGATTGGTCTTCTGCGCGAACTGTTTCCCGACATTACAAAGGTATGAATGTTGAATTTTTTAATCGACGATGCGAGAAAAGTGATGCGCGTAGTAAAAAATTTTTAAACTCATTAACCATTCTTGAAAAAAAATATATGTACATTTTTAGCATTTAACTTCGCTCGCATATTCTGCATACGGATTTCTAACTTTTGTATAGGCAAAATATTCTGAAAGGCATATAAAAGATAATCTAGCAAAGCATTGCCTTTACTAATACTTGTCTCATCTTACATACATATGTATGGCTGTATGTGCGTAGGTATTTACTTACGTAATTGCGTACTCTCGCTACCAGCATATGCAAATTGTTGCGCATAATAAGTAACCATACAGTACTCACAAAAAACATGTAGACGTCACCGATGATGCAGGCTCGCAATGGCAATTGCGATGTTGCCTTTTGTAAATTGCTGGCGTTTAAATGCCAAGTAATACACTTTGGTAGCATAATTTTTTGCTTATTATTCAATTCATTCCATTCTTACTTATATCTACATACTAAAATGCTCACGTCTACAAATTAATTAACTTATGTATGTATGTATGTATGTACCTACATACAAAAAATGTAGGTATGTAAAATGTGTTTGTTTAAGTATGAATGTTAATTCAAGGAAACAGATTGAAATATTGACATTTACTGAGGTGCGATTGAGCTGGTGCGGTTGAACCTGATAGGAATAATTTTCACATTTAAAGAAGACACCCTTTTGTTTTAATGAATGAGTCTGTGCGTGGCAGAAATGCGGAAATCAAGCACAATCGGTAGCTGGAGAGATATATTTTTTTTAATTTCACGTATAATGATGATAGAATTTAAAAATAACGCTTTGAACAATCCCTGTCTAAGGCCCTTTACATTTCTTTCGTTTCCTTTCGTAATTTTATAAACTCAAACTCTTCGTCATGGAATGCGTTAGTTAGGTTAGCATAAAATATTTGGAGTCCCCCCTTTAGTAGACACACCTGCAGATATAGATTTCTGATAGGTGCACAAAATAAATGAGACCGAGGATTTTTAAGCCAGTGTTGACCGGAGACCGCTTTTGCACAACATCCGTCTATGCCAGCCACGCCTATACAAAATGTGTAGAAAGCTTAAAAGAGCTTTGCCCGCGGGCAAGGCAGTGCCCATCACCGGTCTGTGCCAATGATGGGCAAAGAGAGCTTTTACTCTGCACGCATCTATAAAGCATGCATAGGAAGCTATAAAAAGCTCTAAGTGCGGACAAATGCGAAAGCTTAAAAAAGCTTTTCAGGGTTGACACTTTTAGTGGGCCGCTATAGAGCTGATACCAGGATAATTTCACTTGATTACCCTCCATACAGCTGCTTCATTAATGGTTTATAATTCGCACCAGTAAAAGTACGTACACACAGAAGGCCGAAAGGCGCCGAACGTAGCTTCAAGTGTTCACACTGAATGTGGCGGAGCGGAGCTTTGGGAATGGAATTGACTGCAAAGCTACCAAAATACTTACCTTTAATGAAAAGGGGCAAACATATTTGATAGATCTGTTCCAACCAAGGCGAATCCATATAAGGTGGAAGCGGTAGTACAAAAACAAGAACTTACATGTATTTGGTTTCTGTTTTTGGTAAGCAAATGTTAAATTTAAGCTATTCTTTGCCCACGATAGAAGAGGGGAAGAAAATTCCAACACTCTCACCTTCTCACTCACTAATAAAAAGTTTTGTCATATGTGTACTTAGATTTCATACTAATAATTTACACTGGGCTAGAAAAGTCTAGAATTGCATAAAGACTTCTATGGTAAGCTCTGGACAAAGCTCGTTGAACAGACTCATTATGCGACAGTTCTAAAATCAAGCCAAGGAAAGCTACCCAGCAGATTATTTCAGGCGCTAAAAGTCCTCCTGAGGGTCGGAAGGCATTCCAATATGCCAACATGCGTTTCAATTCGCTATCGAGTGGCATAAATTGAAGACCTTCTGCTTTCGGTACCCATAGACGGACTACCAGAATGTTTAAATTCTGCGTCTTTAATTCAAAGAAATTATGATTTTTCAAGCTATTTGTTTATATAAAATATGTTTTATTGCAACTAAAAATAATAATAATCCCAACGGTTTTTACCCTCCATTCCCGCCCATCCGCACGAGGGGATGAAATATGATTACTCTCCGCAAGTCATTAATTATCGTAACCTTACCATACTAATGTACTATGCATTCCACCAAGGACAACCTCAAGGATTACATACCATAAAATAACTTTTGTGTTGGTTCTGTAAACAACCCAGCGCGCCCACTGTATCGCTCTGAAAGGATAAATCCTAATTATTCTGGCTTGCAGTACATCATCCACATCGCAGCCCTCTGCATTAAAGTCTTCAAAGTAGGATGCAAGGTTTTTCATAATGTTCTTTCAGGAAGTTTTTTGTATCATTACACCGTGCGACAAAACCAAAAAAATTTTCGAAACACACGAAGCAATCAATATACTCACGAAACTGTGTGCCAAGTATAGTAAAACTGCGTTTTTAGCTTTTCTCTCTGACGTTAGTATTTTTTTAAAGGACTTTTTAGTTTCAAAGATATGATTGATTCCAAATATTATTTAAAAAATTCAGTGCAATGTAGAATAAAAATATGTTCACCAAATGAAAGAGAAAATTCTGTTGATTAAAAAATAATAAAAATGTTTGAGTCAGAAGGACGAATAGGTATTGAAAGTACCCTTTTAATCAATTTTATTTTTTTAAGCTAATAAAGTTAGAAGGACGAAATTCGAGGATGTGGTCGAATGTATATTAGTATTTAACATTTAATTTTTTAAAAAGTTATTATTGCAAAATTTTAAGGATATTCAAGGATTATATTTTAAGAGAACATTTTCTATGCCTCTTCGTCCTTGTGCACCAAAAAATTTAATCGGCTTTAAGTCTATTAGATTTTCTCTTTAGTTTTATACCCATACTCTTGTTCTACATTGCACTGAAATTTTTTAATAATAATCATATTTTTTAAATTTTAAAGTCCTTTAAAAAAAAAACCTGACGTCAGGGAAAAAACTAAAAACATGGTTTCGCGAATATGTTTAATGTTTTGTGTGTAAAATTTACTGTCGCACGGTGTTATATACATATGTATGTACAGTGGAGGTTAAAAGTGGATGAATGGTGTTTGGTATTTAATATTTACAATGTTTTTCAAGCTATAACTTTCACAATTTAAAAAAACTCCACAATTTTTTTCTAAATTTCGACTTTTTAACCATATTTTTTTTAATTTTTTGGGTATGCAGTTAACAGGATTATAAAATTTTAGTAAAATTACCGCAAGTTTTGAGACTTTTAATAATTTTTTTTTTTAGTTGACGGCGTTTTGAACTTTTTCCCATATAAACATGAATTTTTTGTGGAAGAATATGCGCAAAACCTTTGCGAAGAAAAAATCAGCGCCAGTTTTCCTAAATTTCGCATTTTATATGAAAAAAACGAAAAAGCCGTCAGCAAAAAATAAATAAAAAAGTTCAGCGCCAGTTTTCCTAATTTCGCTTTTTATATGAAAAAAGCCGTCAGCAAAAAAAAATTATTAAAAATCAATGCGATTTTTTTAGCCACTCAAAACTTGCACTAATTTTACGAAAAATTTAATAATCCTGTTAACTGCATACCCAAAAAATTAGTTAAATAAAATCTGGTTAAAATTTGTGGAATTTTGCTAAATTCTGTATTAAATTTGAAAGTGTGATTTACTAATATGGCTTTTGTTTTGTTTTGTTGTGTTTGCTTCAAAAACATTGCAAATATTAAAAACGATACACCATTCATCCATTAATGGACGCCACTGTAATTGCTTGATTTCTTTTCTTCGAAATTTGTGAGTATCAACACTTGTACTTTCATAAATCTGAAACTAGTATTTTTCCCAGAAATATAAAGCTTTTTAATTAAAGCATTTTAAATACCAAATATTAAATACCCCTCTTCTGAACTGCTTTTACTTACTTTTCAAAAACTTTTTTGAAATTAAACCATTTCTCCAACTTATGCTGGTAATTTATGCACTAATTCAGACCATTGACGAAGAAATAAATCGTTTTGTCAATCGCATACTACAAGAAATCGGTCCTATATTGCTGGGTACAGCACTCAATCCAAAGTTGACAAGTGGACGCCGCACTAACGATACCCAAACGTTGGATGTTGCTCGTAACGATGAAGAGGACATCGTTAGCAAAGAAAATGCCAACAATAACGACTATGTTGGCAATAACGATAGAAGTTTCTCCGAAGAGGATAATCTAAATGCAAGTGGAATTGACGAAAGTGCTTTTCATGCTGAAGACGACGAGGATGATATACCGGACACAATATTCGTGCCAGATATAGAATTCGGACGCAAGAAAAAGCGCGAAGAAATTGAAAAGGAAAATTCAAAAGAAAAGGATGATGATGATGAAGAGAAAATTTAAGACACAATTTTAAGTGCTTAAAAAAAGAACAATACACCAAAAAAAAAAAACACCAGAAGGAAAATTAACATAGAGTATTACTCCATATATTAATTTAGTTATAAAAGACACAAACATACAAACCAACACGTGCAACACGAATGAATGCATACAAAGCAATCCGATTGGCTCGCAAAATAATTGGCTTTAAACAAACAAAGTTTTATTGGCCTGCTTGACTCTGTTGTTAAATATTTTAAGTTTTATTTGAAATGTACAATTTACGCGCAACTGTTATGCTTTTGAAAGTTTTTGCTTATTGCGTATTCTGAAGCCCTGTTTTTTTATGCCCTTTTGTAGTTGTTGGTCTGTGTTAAAGCGCAAAGACTTATTCTTTTAGAAAAATCACGTTTTTTTTAACTTCTTTTAATTTTTCGTTGTTCTTGTAATCTTGTAACCTTTTATTTAGTTTTCAAACCAAATTGTTTATTATTTGGATTTTCGTTGCATGCAGTAGATGAATTTTCCAGTGCTGCTAAGTATGTAGTTTATAAAAGTTAAATTTGCACTGAAAACTTTTACGAGTATTTGCAATATTTTTTATTATTTTTTTTTTTAGAAGTTATGATAATTATGCAACTTATACCGAAATAACGAGATTCCGACGCAGGTAACTCGTAAAAAAATATTACGAAAAACAGTTTTCTCCATAACCGCTAACCTCCTGAACACCCTAGTTATCGACGGTGCTTTGGCAAAACCTCTTATCTCAAAAATCAAAACTACATTGTATCTCGTAAAATGAATTCAAAATAGGACTTAAATATTACGATTTATTATATATTATTCTTAATTAACTACAAAGTACTTAATTTTTAATATTCAGATAAAAAAGTTATTAAAAATGATTTCTTGTTAATAATAGAGAGTTTTTTGTTAGAGAGTGTTGTTTGAGAGACGAGGTTTTGCCAAAGTATCGTCGTTATGTGCTTACAGTTACCAATTCTTGTGCTGAGATAAATATATTTAGCTGTCTGTTTTCTGCTGCAGAATACCTTGATCGTAAGAACCTGGACTAAATGTCAACCCATCAAAAACAATAACGATTCTCTTTACAGAGCAAACTACAATCCCTTTATTTCAACTTCTAATACTAATCGGCGTAGTACTTTCGCTCTGAAATGAAGTGAGATCATTTCTTTTATGATGTATTTTGGAACGAATTCCCGTCATCGGCTGTCAAGTTTGGTTTAGAGACAAACCGGTTTGTGCTAACAAATTACACTAAAGATGAAGTGAACTATTTGGAAGTCGTTTTTGACAGAAAATTAACCTGGCAACGCAACGTTGGAGAGCGGACAAGAAAGTCCATTACCATCATTTACGCCTGCAATAGTGCTATAGGCAAAATATATGCTCTGGAACCGTATCTTATCTTACGGCGTCATAGTTTAGTGAACATCTCTGAATAAATCGCTCACTTACTCTAAATTTACCAAGGTTCACGCCCACCTTTTCGAAAACCTTCAAGCACGCTACTGTTATATAAGACTAAATGCATTGTTAAAATGGAAAAACACTGGATTCGGTCACACCGACATTTCTAGATCCCCAAATTACACGCCTCTCGATATTGAGAACAAAAGTTATCCACACGTATTGTTTCTAGTTATTATTGGGAAGTCAATTCGGTATTGGCTGTCAGACTACTGCAATATTTACCAATCAGAGCTTGCTGCTATAAAGGGAGCTGCACTTTGGCTTATCGTCTTTTGTCCCAATCTGTCTTGAGTAACCATCTGCTCCGATAGCCAGGCAGTTTTAAGGTTAGTGGAATGCTGTGAAATTTCGCCAAAAATGGCTAGAGAATACAGATAAATTGTCAACAAGTTTGCTAGTAAGTTCACCACCCTCATGGAGACGAGCTTCCGAGTAAGGGCACAACCCTCTCTAACGTCAACTGCACTCGCGTTTGGGGCATACCGCTATCTAAGTACCTGCAAATGTTATCGCAAGAACCCGGGTGCAGGACAACCCCATATCGACAAGAAAAGGTCCGTCTCACTCAATTGTCTAGAACGCCCTCTACATAGGCAAACGTCCAGAATTATAACCGGTCACTGTTTGACGGGAAGGCATGCTACATATATATTTAGTAGAATGAGCCTGCTCACCGAAAATTTTTGACGCAGCTGTCGTGACGAGGAGGAAATTGAAATCGTGCTGTCTCTGCCACTGCCCTGCCCTAACGAGTGCTAGAATGAGCTCATTTCACCATCACTTTTTCGGCTGTCTGGCCAACCTAAGGTTGTACTTCTATGTGAGCGGACGGAAACGAATACGAGCTCTCAAATGGTACCTCAACGGGCTCACAGAGCTTAAGCGTACCTCCCCTATGCTGGATTCAGGTAGCCACTTCAACTTAATCTTTTTTCTGGTAATTTTAACCCGTTAAATCTCCTTGTTGTGGACATTTTTTACCCTCTTCCACAAAATATACAAAAAGGCGCATCTACAAAAAATGTTCGCAAAAATATTTCCCGTCTTATTTTGCGTAGAACAAATCGTATGTCTAAAATGTAAGGATTGCATAGTTTTCTGTGCCGATTTACCAAAAGAATTTGCAAAAACACGTTTTTTTTTGGGTCGCCTCTACCAGAATCTGTCGTCGGAACCTTGTTGTTTTTTAATGTACAGTGTAACATTTAGGGGTATTTCATATCAAACTCTTTTCTCGTTATAAACGATATTATTAAAAAAAATTATAATTGCAATCAGATCTTTTTTATGCTTTTTTATATGTTAGGTTGACTTATTATCATAAAGCAATTGGTTACACGATATTTTTCAGCAGTTTTTTATATTAAAAAATTCGACATTTTTGTAGCAATAATTTGCTGCTTATTAAGTACAAAAACTTTTTCCCCACCACAGTCCGCTCTTTTAAGGATAACTCAGACGGGCAGAGTTTTGTCTTTATCTAAATACTTTTGTTACAAATATTTGTTCGAAATATTTTTTTCTTCATCCGCACTAAAATATATCACATTAATTTGCATTGGACCAAAAAAGTCTAAATTAATTAAAAATCGTAACCCAATTGGCTTCTCAAACTAAGCTGCTGCGCTCATTCATATGCATCGATCCAAAAGCTTCCAAAAGGATTCTAATAAAAAGACCATTCAAAACTGCGAATTTTCTTCATCTACCGAAATTAAAAAAAAAAACGAAAAATTGTTTCAAAACTTTTTCTATTTTATTGCTGTTTCTGACTTGGTGCACTCTTCCACCCCTTTCCCATTATAGCAAATCGACGACATAGTTAATCGCATTATAGGCCAGGTAATACGTGTTGCCGGTCCCAGTCTGCTACCGGCGCTGCTCGGCAACAATCGACCCACCACCGAGCGTTCAGACTTCGATGCTGATTTCGACGACGATGATGACTCAAGTAACGATGTTAATTCTCAGGAGAAAAATAGTGTTTTCAGCAAAAGTGATGCTGCTACATCGGCGCCCAGCGACAGCAGTGATACTGGTGGCACGCGTGTAAGCATCGTCTTGCCAACATTCGCGCCAGCGAATGAATCATCTTCGGATGCAGCAAATAAAGTGAGTTTCGCGCAAGGCGCTGAAGAAGCAACAACTAGTGTTGCAACGTCAACATCAACATCAACATCAACAACAGCAGCAACAGCGACAACGACAACGACAACTAGCACAATATCGACGCCTGTCATCACAAGCACAACGGTGACAACAATCAGTCCTCAGCCAATAACTCCATTGACAATTGCCACTACCAGTCGGCCCATTGAAATATTCACCACTCCAAATCCAACTACCGTCGCGGCTAGTCCACCACAAACTACTACCAACGTTCCCACGCCTGCACCAACAACCCTTTCACCAGTCACATTGCCCACCACTACCATTAATTCCATATTAGTTATACCTAGAAATAAAGGTAAAAGTTCGAGTAGCACTAATGCCAATAGGGGCAACACAAATATACCTAATTTAGCCACAACACCGCCCACAATTGAAGCTGACACAGAAAGTTCCTACACCACCACTACCACCACATCCACACCCTCAACACCCTCGACTATCCCAATTACCACCACTGCCACATCAATACAATATCCCACCAAACCAACCACAACAAAAGAAATTGTTGCCGGCGATACACTACCAACACCAACAATACCAGCCACCTATTTGGGCACATTTGATGGCGCAGTAGACGGCAAGCCAAATATTATACGAGTACGAAATCCATTCACACTACCAACTCCAACTCCAACTCCACCTCCACAATCCTTACCACCAACACCAACACAACAACAACCACTAGAAACTCAAACCACCACCACCACGTTGCCGTTTGCTGTTGATGTTGATCGATCACAGCTTGTTGCTTTAGTCGACAATATAAATCGTTTATTGAATTCACCAAATCTTCTTATTACTAATAGAAATAATGCAAATACAACACCAGCAACAACAACAAATACAATTACAACAACGCCTTCAATAGCAGTTTCAACACAATCGACGGAGTTAAATACAACTATAAAAATTACAAAACTCCTACCTGTGGCTAATTAATTGGGAAAAAATTGTCAAAAAAAAAAAATTATGTACATATAGAAACAGTAAATAAATAGCAACAATTATTAAGTACTACAAGCATTACAACCGAAACAGCAACAAGCGATAACAACTATTTAGTACAATGCCAGCAAAAACAAAAAACAAAAAAAATAAAGCGAACTGGAAATTTCCATTAAGTAATCGGCTAAGAGCATTTATGTATGTAGTAACAACAATAACTTTTCATTCACACAAAAACAGCAACAGCAGCAACAACGAGTATATAAAAAGCCACCAAGTAATCAGCAGCAAAACGTACAATATGTAGAAACATATGTATTTATGTATACCAACATTCGAATGCATTAGCTTGTACGATCAGACCGCAATTCACCACGTTCGCCATTTACTACAACTCACAAAATATCGTTTTAAAATAATACATATGTATGTATGTACTTATACAAGTATGTATTACCTTATCTACATATAAATACGTTCGTTGTGCGTGGTTTTTCACATATTCACCACATCTGCAACAAAGCACCAACAACAGCAACTCATTTTGTGCATTAATGAGTACTTAATTTGGTCGTTTTTCACTATGTTGCTATTGTCGCATCTCATGGTGTATTTCCGTTTCCATTGTTATCGCAGACGTTCGTTATCTACATTGTGTTTACCGAGTAATCACTTAATTCACTCCTTTGTACTATGTCGATTTTAACAATTTTCATCTGTTGTTTATTATTGTTGGTTATTGAACTCAGTCTCTCCACTCCCCGAGGCCCCTGTGCTCACTCTCATCGTAGTGTTTTTGTGAATCTTTCTAAATATTTATTTTTTGTGCGCATATTCAGAGTACTGTCATCTGGTAATTAATTCATCCCATTGAAAACTAATTTGTGTGAACCATATCTACATAATATGTATATATAAAAATTATTAACCATGTGCTGCAAAACTTTTAAAACCACTGCAAATAATAAAGTTATGTGTATGCGAGAATAAAAACATTTTACTTTTAGCTTGACCGTTTGAAATCAGAGCGAATAATAGCGCTGTCAGAATTGGTACGTCACTCAGGATTAAACTGACACTTCAGGAGTATGTAAATAATGTATGCAATGACGTATGTAAATAAGGGCGACAGCTGATTTTCGTTAACATACGCAACAACTTCATTGTGGCGTCTCTCTATGTTCCATATGCCACTCCCTTCACATACTTCCGGCATTGACGTTAAGTACCCATTCTGATGGTGCTATAACTCGTACAACATATTTTATATATATAAAAAAAGCATCCTATTGTGTAATCTTTTTATGTATACCCTAGAACTAAAAAAGCACGTAAGACTCGAAACTTTAATTAAAATGGCAAAATTTTAATAAAACTCATTTTCGAGTCTAAGATTTCGTTTTCGTATACAAAAAAATGGGTTTCTGACATTAAAATGTTTCTGACTTTTGTAATTCGTAGGATAAATACATTAGAGGTAGGATTTTTTTCGGTATTAAAGGATTAGGTATGGTCAAAAATTTTGCATTTTTAAATAATTTTCTGTTCGCAAATGTTTAATATTTTGTTTTAGCTTATAAACAAATTTTTGGTGCCAACCCTTTTAAATAATATTAAGCTGAACTTCTCCTTCGGTTTGTGGTCTGCGGCTTGAAGTTATAACACAACCGGTATATTAATTTTGTTCAGAAGCTTTTTTATGAGAGAATTAGACACGTCGATTTTCCATTGGCTGCCGAAGGGCGACCGCTTTAGTAAAAGCCTCTTCCTTTGGACTTTTCCTGAGCCAGGGATCATATCTGGGTGCTTCATGGCCGGTTACTCAATGCCTGGTTATCACTAACTGGTTATCGGCTCCCTGTTATATTTTTTGAGTCGATCACGTCGATAACAATGTATTATCTGGAGTTAGTGTGAACCAAGCATTGAGTAACTGGCCCTCAGAGTTGTAGTAAGCATATTTGAACACAAAGCTATGGAGACTGGTTACCCATATAACATTTTACTGGTTCGTCTCGATCCTGATGGAAGCTTCTGTTCTTAGAAATTAAACAAACATACGAACCCTAAAAAAAAATATATACCCGATTTCCATGTCTCAATAAACTCTAAAGTTTTAAGGAAAACTAATTTAAGGTTTTGCAGTCGAAGGTACCTTCACCTGGAGTAGTAAATTAAACTGTAGTTTGTGACTCATACACCAGTGACGAGACATGCGCCTTGTTTAGCTTTAAAAGGTTCTTAAACTGCTTCCGACCTATCCGTGACCAAAAAGACTACATCACCTTGCCTTCCAAGGGTTTTTTTCAGACCTAACTGAGCTGACCGAACGCCCATCTTTCCAGCAGCTTATCAAATGCGAGCAAAGGAGCCACCTCCAGAGTGCCCTGCCAGTTCATCGGCCCTGTAGTTAATTTTGGCGTGGAACTCATGCTATCCAAGTATTCTGATGCGATTGAGAAGGCTGAAGGCAATTGCCGAAAGTTTAGTTTTCAATCGTACCATTAAAGACCCAATGGCCTTAATTTCCCCTCGGCTTACCGAATATACACGTGTATATATGCGCATATCCTTGACTGGTATTCTATTCTTAAGCATCCAATCCACTGCTCCATTCAACTTAAATAAATTAACTGGGCCCTGATTACAAAGATTTCAGTCCGTTCAAACTGCCTTTCAAGGAATACGAAAGGTAAAGAATCCAGGGAACTCAGCAACGGTCGGATAAGGCCGATATGATTCCAACGTTAGGACCGCTCTTTGCACGCTCTCCAGCGGCTTAACCCACACGAAGACATCAAAGAGCCAATTAACCACCTTCGGTGAGAGACCCCACGCTCTAAACAATGTAGGATTATTGTAGCCTTATTTAGAATTGTTTGCCTATGGTCAAGACCAGATATCTGTCAGAGAGCATATGTGGAATGTCGTCCAATAAAGGAGCTGAAACTTCAGACTACTAGTTTTTTGGTCTTTAATTTATTTAAAATAAGAATAAAAATTATTTCTGGCCGAAAAAATTATGGAAAATTACTCAGATAATTATGATAGGGAATATATGTATGAATCGAATTGTAGCGATTAGATTATGATTTTTATATTAAAAAAGGTAACTGAGATGGTTTAAAATAAATCAGCAAACAAAAATCGCTGCATAATTTTTAGTATCACTTACGTTAAAGTTTGTTAGAACCTCGCGTCAGCTGTAGCCCAGCGGTTAGAGATGCATACTACCATACGTTAGGACCTAAGAGCGATCCCTGGTCTGATCTCCGAGTATATTTCTGCCATGAAAAAAAAAACATTTCATAAAACGATTGGCCATTCGGAGACGTGGTTAAATTATAGGCCCCTCCATTTGCGTTATAAGATCAATACGCACACCATAAATTGGAGTAGAAGCTCAGCCAAACGCCTCTGAGCGTCAAATATTTATATACTTATTATATTCAAACATCGATATCGTCTACAAATTTCCAAAAATACATTTTATGCAGCACTAGTTATTTAGTTTAATAAAATACCGTAACTAACTAATAACTGACCAAACTTAGAAAAATATCAGCTACCTAAAACATCAGTGCTCCAGTAGAATTATCACTCATAAATCATATTCTCGCCCTATAATTAAATTAAAAGGCATGAGAGTTAATCGAGTCTGTTACTCTTCATTTTGGTAGAAAAAAAGTGTTTTAATGAAAACTAAAAAAAATAATAGCAAGTACATAAATTGCACAAAATTCCCAGCGACTTAGTCTTAAGCAATACTTTTATACATATTTATGTAGTATGTTTAGAATTTTGTTTTTACATGTATTTAGTCGCGACCTTGTCTTATTTAAGAATGGTCTTATTGGTTTATTTGTGTTCTCGTGACTATTAGATAATCTGTCACAACGTTTGTCCCCCACTTTCTTCCGCACTGCCTGCATACATATATTTTGCACTTACTGTATTCCAACTAAGTTCCACCGCATATTTATATCTTCCTTAAACATACCACCACAACAAAAAAAATACATACGTTTCTTACTTCAAAAGTGTTTCAAAAACGAACAAATCGTACCTACATAAATTTGCATACGTAATTCAATTCTGACTGTGATGTTGTTGTAGCAAATCGATGATCAAGTGAATCGTATAATTTCGAAATTATTGCGCACTTTGGGGCCCACTCTGCTGCGTACCGCCGTACAAGGCAATACTGCCAATCGCGCTCGCACCTCTTTCGATGCTGATTTCGATGACGATGATGACAGTAGCAGCAGTAGCAGTAGCAGCAGCAGCAGCAGCAGTAGCAGTAGTAGTAGCAGCAGCAGTGGCTCGACTAGTTTTACCTCCAACAACGGCAGCGGTACACGCGTTTCCATTGAGTTGCCAACATTCGAACCAGACAATGACGAAGAGAATGAAATTGGCAGCGTTACCAGTTCCAGCAGCCAGGAAACAGCGACTCTACGCTACAAATGTGAGTGCGAGAGGATACTCGTTTTAAGTAGTTCATATATAATTGAGTAATTTCAAAATGCGTTGCGCGAAGCAAGTGAGCGCTCGCTTTGTATGAGCATTGAGTGCGTGATATGTCAAATTGACAGTTAAAATATAACGTCAAATTGACAGTTGTAAACTTAAATGCTGAACAAAGCTAATTTTTTTTATTAATTTGCTTAATTGGATTTTTCGCTAAGAAATTCTTTTTAAATTTATTATTATTTTTTAATTGGTAACAGAATCCTCAAAAAATTTGTTAAAATTGAAAGTTAACGAATAATTGGCAACAAATTGGCAACACAAAAAATTAGAATACTGGAAATTTTATGAACCATTTATGCGCTTAAGGAAATAACAACCACAAAAATAAGTCAACAACAAATACTATGGAAAAAGTAGTAACATCATGGAACACCACTTAACAACAACGCAGACGGTCGATGCTACAACAAATGCAACAACATCAGTCTAACACTAAAAAAAAACAAAAACATACCAACTAAACAAATGTACTTTTGTGTGAAAAATAAAATTTACTTACTCTTACTCTAATAAACTATTACTTTTCTGTTTCATTTTGTCTTTAATTTTCACTTGCATGTGATACTCACCATTCACTTTTATCATTTAACAACCAAGCAAACCCAGTTGTTTTTTCTGGCAGCCACCAATTTCTCTACATTTTGAAATTGTACGCTGCAATAATTTCATTAGTCATTACTGCAAGTGCATTTATGTATGTCGTTTATCATTTGAAATGTCATTCGTGTAAAATGCAACACTGACAACTTTCTCTTTCCTTTCTCACTCACACACACACACATGCTCTAATGCTTCGCTCCATACGCCTTTCGCTCGCTCGCCCTCTCTCTCTCTC